CCCTGTATATATACATATATATATTTTATTAAAAGATTCTACTAAAAAATATTATTTTCTATTATTAAAATAGATATTTAATTATAATACAATACCTTTTCATTTCAGTGAATTATTTGTGTAACATTTCTGGCAATTTTATCATCGCAATAATGTTTCATGTTTAAAAATTGTATCAAGATTAATAAGTACGTGCTGATATTACCCATTATCTAAAATAAAATTAAAAAGATGAATAAATCACTTTTAATTTGTAAAGACAAATGAATAATAATTTACCGCAGTGAGAAGCGTCGCGTCCACAGTAAGACTCTTCGCAGAGAACGTATTATTGCGGTGCAGAATTTGCAAGGAAAACAACTGCAACTGCAACATTAGATCGTAAATTAATTAATAACAAAATTGCAAAATGTAATTACAAATTTATTAGATATAATGTGTAAAATATTACATTTCAGATCATATGGTACACAATCATTAAAATGTATAAATTAAATTACATTTTTTATTACCTCCCTTTTAATTTCATTATCATCGATACTGTTAAGCACGTCATGAACAGTGGTGCTAATCTGCAAAGCCTGATTCTTGCCGGTCTCACAAGCCCATACCACCAACATTATTTTTATAAGATAGTACATTAAAGACGTTAGCAAAAACGTACCATAAATATAATCTTCTACATTAATCAGGACTTTGTCTGTTTGCCAATACAATATTTGATAGTAGAGATTAAAAGTTATCCGAGTAAAAGTTATAATTACAGTAGCAAGGAGCTGTAAACTGAAAATTACATTCAGCATTTGCACTGTGTTACTAATCATCAGGTGTTGTTTTTTCAATGCTTTTAATTCGATCAGCAAAAATGGACTTCTTTGTTTGTAGCATATTTTGTCGGGATGATATATCGTATGCTCCCGCATGTTCTCCAGATTATCATTGATTCTCTTGAAACAAGCCTTTAGTATACAAACACAATTCATATACAACATATCCAGATGAAATGTCAGCAGAGTAATATATATTAAGTAAATTTTGATTATAAAATGAATATTCATCTTGATATATATCGGCATTTCAATAAGTAGGAACAAAGATCCTAAGAGGTCCTTAGCGTGAATTAATTTAGATAGCTTCTGATATAATTCCGAAGGCAATTTTGATGAAATGTCTTTTATAGTTTGAAGCAAATGCATTCGCGGACCGCTCAAAATGTACGTAACCACCGCTGTAAAACCACTGAGTATATAGAAGCTATTACGATTAAGATTTATGGGTATACCTCTGTACTTCACACATTCACAAAAGTTGATGAGATAGAGAACGTACAATAAGAAAGTGACGCAAACACAGATATTGATGGATGAAAGAATATAACGTGGTGTAGAAGTCTCAAAGACCAATGCATTGATCTTATACGGAAACATTCCAAGCATGTAGCAACATGTGAAGGAAGGATACATCAATGATTCAAAATCCGTGGCGTAAAATAGCTTCCATTTTTTTTGCACTTTGCCATTGGCTCGTCTTTGCAATTTTAACGCTGAATTGAACATAATTAATAATTCATGAAAGAACAACCTAAAATTATTAATCATTTTATAAATGCACTTTATCAAGTGGAATTTAATTGCGATAGTTTTATTCTTAGTATATCTTTAAAATTTGTCTCCTTACAACAAATATGTATACTGATAGAACTCTTCACCGTCGATCTACTCACATTGAATTGGAATTTAAAACTACAAGAAATTTTTTTTCTCGTCAAATAGTGAGAATTCAAAGGGTTACTTGTTTATAGTTGTGAAGTAACCATGGCACCCTTCGATCGACATTATTGAGGCATACAACATAAACGAATAATATGTAATTACTATGAATTATATATGTATACACGAAGCAAGAGACATGAATGCTGCATAGCATTCATGTAGATTAGTGATTCTTTCAAGGATTCATTAATAAATACAGACCATTAAAAAATTCTACATTTTTCTATTTTGCAAATGAGATGTTCGACGTTTCTGTATCATGACTCTTTGTGTTTCAGTCTCACAAACAACATATATGTATATACACATTACATACACGAATGTGTAATTCAAGATGCAAAAATATTAAAATACTTATTTTCTACTTATTCAAAACGTTATTATTAATATTTAGTTTCTAAGCTTAATTTACAAATTAATTATGAATTACAAATACTTTTCCGTATTTATTAAAATATGGTAAATTAAATTTTGTACGTATGTGTGCGTGCACGCATAAATATTTTACATATGAATACGATTATATAAATTATGCGTACATTTTGAAATACATTAGTATGTATGTATTGTTGCGAAAGGCATACGAACAAATATAATATTGTGAAATGTGTCAAGTTATTATAATGCAATGCCTTATCTAGATTAAAATTAGTCGATCTTTATCTCGACTGATGAAAGTAACATTTGCGTCATAATCTACAGACTATACTATACGCAGGCCACAAATTCATCAAAGAAGATCAATTTTTGTATTTTGATAACGGTAAAGAGATCAGATGATGGAACATGAATTTATTATTGCGATAACGCATGTATCAAATATTGCCTCAACGAAATTTCATAAATTTATTGTTGATAAATGAAGTTTGAAGGGCAAATATACCTCCAAGGAACTATTTAAGTAATTCACTACATTTTTATATATTTTCTGCATGTTATACATCCTTAGCTTATACTGATTTATTGATACTTACATTGATTTATTTTAACTTAATGTAAGAGCAGTGAAAACAGTAGATTATATGACAGATCTAATTATATTAAAAATTCAATTTTTTTATAAAAATTTATTTAATATGTGCCAAAGGGTTTGCGGGTTATCGCCGTGTCGTGATCCATTGCTAATGCTAACGTTTCGTGAAACTTGCTGTTTACTTCATCAAAAAATGAAAATTGCATCTTGAAGTGCGTGCGCAACTTGTGCTGTCTTGAAGTACTAATAAAATAGACATTTCTGTCATTTACTCATTTTTTAATAATATGTTTTCATTTCAGTGAATGTGTGTAGTATTAGTGGCAATTTTTTCATCGCAATATGTCATGTTCAAAAATTGCATCAAGATCAATAAATATGTGCTGATGCTACCCACTATCTAAAAATAAATTTAAAAAAATGAATTTGTGATACATAAAAACAAATGATTACTAAATAATTTACCGAAGCGAGAAGTGTTGCGTCCACAGTAAAACCCTTCGCGGAGAACGTATTATCGCAATGCATAATTTGCAAAGAAAACATCTGCAACTGCAACATCAGATCGTAAATTAATTAATAACAAAATTGCAAAATGTAATTATAAATTTATTAGATGTAATGTGTAAAATATTCCATTAAAGATAATATGATACATAATCATTAGAACGTATAAATTTTAAATTATATTTTTTTATTACCTCCCTTTTGATTTCGTTATCGTCGACGCTGTTAAGCACGTCATGAACAGTGATACCAATCTGCAGAGCCTGATCCTTACCGGTCTCACAAGCCCACACCACAAACGTAAGTTTTATAAAATAATATATTGTGCACATCTTCAAGAATATGGGGTACATATAATTGTATATGTTGTCTATATTAAACACGAATATGTTTATTTGCCAATATAATACATAAAAATAAAGTGTGAAAGTGATCTGGGTAAAAGTCATAATTATAGTAGCGAGGAGTTGCAAACTGAAAATCATGTTCAGCATTTGCACTGTGTTACTAATCATTAGATGTTGTTTTTTCAATGTCTTTAATTCGATCAGCAAGAATGAACTTCTTTGTTTGTAGCATATTTTGTCAAGATGATATACCATCGTATGCTCCTGCATGTTCTCTAAATTATCATTGATTCCCTTGAAACAAGCCTTTAGTATACAAACACAATTCATATACAACATATCCATATGAAGTATCATCTGACTAGCGTATATTACAAAAATCTTGGTTGTAATAGGGACATTTACATTGAAATATATTGGCAGTTGAATAATAATAAGAAAGAAGGAACCTAAGAGATCCTTGGTGTGAATTAGTTTGGATAACTTCTGATATGATTCCGAAGGCAATTTTGAAGAGATCTCCTTTATAGTTTGAAGCAAACGCATTCGTGGACCGCTCAAAATGTACGTGATAATCGCTATAAAACCACTGAGTATGTAGAAGCAACTACGATTGAGAATTCTGGGTATGATTTTGTACCCATTTCCAGAAATTTCGTATACATAGATAATGTATAATAAAGAAATGAGGTAAACACAGGTAATGATGGTTGAAAAAATATAACGCAGTGTAGAAGTTTCGAAGACCGAAGAGTTGATTTTATATGGAAATATTCCAAGAATGTAGCAAAATGTGAAGGTAGGATACATCAATGATTCAAAATCCGTAGCGTGGAACAGTTGCCATCTTTTCCGTATTTTGTCATTGGCTCGTCTTTGTAATTTTGACGACGAAGTCATGATTAATACGAAAAAATAATCTAAGAACTATTAATCATTTCATAAATGCACTTGTCAAGTAGAACGTGATTACGATCTTTATTCTTAATATGTTTTTAGAATTTGTCTTTTTACAACGAATATGTGTACTGATAAGAACTCTTCACCGTCGATCTACTCATACCAAATTTAAATTTAAGACTGTAAGAAGTTTCTGCATGAAATGATAAGAATTCAAGGAGTTTCTTGTTAGTTGTCAGGTAACCATGGTGCTCTCTTTAATAAATATTTATCATTATTGGAGAACATAAAGGAATAATATGTAATTGTGACATGTGCATAAATGAAGCAAGAGATATAAACTACATAGTACCTATGTAGATCAGTGGTTTTTTTCAAGGATCCATTAACGAATCGTTTTTACATTCTTATATTTAAAATTTATTTTACAAATGGGAAGTTCAACCTTTCTATCATGACTCTTCGATATTTAATCTTTTTAATTTTATAGACAAACAACATATACATATGTACGTACACAAATGCGTAATCGGAATGCAAAAAGTTTAAAACTGCTATTTTTTACTTCTACATAATGTTATTATTAATATTTATTTTCTGATTTTTATACAGATTGATTATAAGTTACAAATATTTCACCTTGTGTTTATTAAAATATATTAAATTATACTTTGTGCGTGTGCTTGCGCGCATAAATTTTATAGACACAAATATTGTTAAATGATTCTATGTACGTTTTGAGAAACACTGATGCCATCATGAAAGACATGTATAATAAATGCATTATTATAAGAGAATTGACTTTGCAAAAATGACGTTAATTTCTTAATTAATCGATATATTTATCTGATAAAATTCTTAATAGGTATATTCGATATGGTCTACAAACAACAAATTATCTCAACATGGTTAATTCATTATACTTTGAAGACAAAATAATGAAATTATAAAAAGTTTGAATTATATCAATGCGACAATGCATCGATCACCTTAAAAAAATTTCATTATACTTATTGTTTTTGATAAATAAGGTTTAATGTATATATAAATATTTCTAAAAATCTTCGTAAACTATTTTCGAAAATTATATTAAATTATGAAACCTTTAAATATATTTACAAATATGCATATGACAAATATTTATTATACGTTGTTATTTATTATTAAATGTTTTATAACCTAGGTTACTAAATTGAAGAAGATCTCAGCAGAGATCGATATTTGTAATTGCAATGAAGTACGATTATTTGTAGTAAAGTTTTGATTAGTTGCATTAGTAATTGCATTCACAACCGTGCCCAGACTCACACTGACCATTTGTATAATTACAACCATATGTAAAATTCTCAAAATCAAGAGACACGGTAGTATCTCGCGCCAAATGAACGTGCAACGCGAAGAACAAGCGCGATTCCATTTATATAGTATTACAGTAGCGAGAAAAAAATGTGCAATTTCAATTTTTTTACATTTTATTTCCTCTTAAAGATATTGATGCCGTTTTTAATATGTTAAAAATTAAAAATGTTACACAGTCTGTAAGACGAATTAATTGTTAAAGACATAAAATTTTAAAAAATTATAAAACTGATATTTTTGAAAATCATATTTTAGTAATTTTCTTTTTTCTCGTTTACATCTATACAAAAACTTAAATCAATAAAAAAGCAATTGTGAAATTAAAATACGTTGTTAATATCTAGTCGAGCTATCGCGAGCTTTTATTACAACGTTATATCTATTTTGCATACATCAATCAATTTGTCCATCACAGAGTCAAAAATTAATAACTTCAAAAATATTCGTTGGATATATCTAACTTGTATATCACAAAATATTTGTTTTAAAATGTATTCAATACAATACCGTATCGTATGGTAAAAAGTTATTATATCGTTGAACAATGTGGATAATAATTATGTATATAGACAAAATAAGTCGCATATTTTTTCTGCTCATTACTGTACATGTTTACATTTGTACAAGATATTTTTACAAACATACAAAAGCAATTTTCAATGATATTCTACTTACAATGATAAAAATAAAAATTAAAATAAAAATTAAAATAAAAATTAAAATAAAAATAAGTATTTAATATTTAAAATATACGTTTAATATTCCATTACTTTTATCATAATTAGATATGTATAAAATTGATTACAGTCTTCTCATCGCAAGAATTCGACATTAACAGGAATTGTATTAAAATTAAAAAGTACATAGTAATGCTCCCCATCATCTAAAAAATAAGATCATGAAAAAAGTTAAATATATCTACATATTTAATAAATTAAAGCAAGTAATACATCTATTCATCATTCACCGCAGTAAGAAGAGTAGCGTCCACAATAAATCCCTTTGCGGAGAATATATTTTCACGATGCATTAATTGCAACGAAAATAGCTGCAACTGCAACATTATATCAAAAAATTATTAAATACAGGATTCAAAGAAATTGTATATCTCATAATATATTAAGAATTACATTATATATACGAGATACAATTAGCAAAATATATAAAATGTGCGAATTAAATTCATATCTATTAAAAAAATACCTCGTATTTTATTTCCTTGTTGCTGATGTTATTAAACATATTACGAACAGTAACGCCGATTTCCATGGCTTGATTCTTACTGGTTTCACAAGCCCATACTAACAACACTGTTTTTATAATGTAATATGTTATACCTGTAATAAAGGCTTTATAATAAACCTGATTTTCCAGATTGCTTACAGAGTTGCCTTCTTGTATTCGGATTAAGTAAAAATACAGATAGAAAGTAATTTGAATAAAGGTCAAAATTATCGTGCAAAGGAGTTGCAAACTGAAGATCGTTGTCAGCATCTGTACTGTGTCGCTGGTTGTCAGATGTTGCTTTTCCAGAGCCTTAAGTTCCATCAATAGGAATGGATGTTTCTGATAGATTTCTCTAAAAAAATATGGCTCACGGTGCGCTATGAATCTTCGAAGATTTATCAGATTGTCGTTGATTTGCTTGAAACAAGCTTTTAAAACACAAACACAATTCATGTATAGCATATCCATTTGGAACACTAGCAGGATTATGTATTGTAAAATAACCAGGCGGAAGACGCTATCCTGCATATTAGGAAAATATATCAACGCTTGTAAAACTAAGAAAGAGAAACCAAAAATGTCCTTAGCATGGATTAATTTAGATAAATTCTTATATGTTTCCGGGGACAATCTTAAAGAGAGATTCCATATTGCTTGAAGTAAGCGCATTCGTGGTCCACTCAAAATAAACGTGCCAACTACTATGAAACCGCCGAAAATGTGGAAGCAATTAAGTTGAAGTATCCTAGGCACGCTTCTGAATACAATATTTTTAGAAATATTGATATCATAGATACTTATTATTTCATCAACGCAAAAAATGCAGAAAATGATAGTTGATAGAATGTAATATAGTTTGCAAGACTTAATGGTTGAAGCGTTGATCTTGTATGGAAATATTCCCAGAATGCGGCAAAAAGTGAAGCAAGGATACATTAACGATTCAAAATCCGTGGCGCAGAACAGTTGCCATATTTTCCCTTTTCTTTTACTTATGAATGCTTGAAACTTCAATAATAAATTGAACATGTTCGTTGAAGTATATATAAGAGCACAATAATTTAAATTATACACTATAGCCGAAGAGATATTAATTATGTTATCAATGCACTTTAGAAGCAACGTGTTTACAAGAAATTCTCTTCCAAATATAATTGTTTGTCTCTACGGAGAATACGTAAACTGTCATAAACTTCTCGCAGTCTAACTACACTTGGCGAGTTTAATTTTAAAACTACAAATAATTATTGCATCGTGTAGCGAAATAAGACTGCAGTAATTTGTTAGTTATGAAGTAACCATGGCATTTTGCTTATCTCTGGAACACACATAATGAAATGATGTATAATTAAATGTGTCATATATTCCACAATCTTATACATCTAGATCATGTATAAAGTGAATAAACGTTATCAAGATATTTCTTAGTTCTCAATTAGATTCATACATAGATAAATACAAGTTACAGTGAAAATATATAAAATTGTATTATATATGAAATTAGGAAAAGAAGGACGAACGTAAATGAATTAATAATAAATAATTATTTGTCCCGTACGATATTTGAGAAATGTAAAATTATAAATTTAAAAGTGGCTCACTAAATACAAATAATAAATAAAATAATATGAGTTTATATTGTTAATGTACGATTTTAAAATATATAACATTCGCAAAAACGCGCGTGGCTGAATGCTCCTTTTATTTATTGTTTGAGAAATGTTTTTTAATATTCTTGATAAAAGATAACATGACCTGATAAAGCAATTAAATCATTGCATTTTACACACATATATCTGGAAATTGTACGTCTTGCTGTTTGGAACGCAGAATGTTGCAATACCAGCGTGATTGAATTTATCATTAAATTTTCGTACTATTGTAATATCGCCATTAACATATGGCATTAATGAAAAAAAAATTAATATCTCTATTTTATATATAGTATATACGTATATATATACTGCTAAAGTACTAATCATATTAGTATAAATTTATATTCTTCATAATATCACTTATAGCGATATTTTGAGATATGATTCATTTCATTTATTATACAAATTAGGTACATAATTACACTACATATTAGGTACATAATTCACATTAAACTTATCAAGTTACATTTGAATTTATTAATGGATATTTTATAATGTGTTTAACAAGTTAGAAGATGATATACTTCTTAGAAAAATCTACATTATGTGTACTATCTAGTTGTATACTTAAATAAAACATATAATACGTATTTTGCACTGATTATTAATATATATCACAAGCATAAAGCACCACATTACTCACACTAACATTTTATTCATAATAATAAATATGAGTATGCATAATTTCAAAAATATCTTTTACTTATATATCGATCTGATGGGTATCTTTATATTAACAAGATTATATTTGTAAAATTAGATTTTCAATCACAAGAATTTAACATTAACAAGAATTGAAACAAAATTAATAGGTACGTAGTAATGCTATACCACCATCTAAAAAAACAGAATCACGAAACATTGTTAAATATCCCTACAATATCTATATTTATTTATGTACAAAAGCAAATGAATATTCACTCACTTCAGTGAAAAGCGTAGCGTCCACAATAAGTACCTTTGCAGAAGATATATTTTTACGATGCATTAATTGCATGAAAAATAACTGTAACTAGAGATTAAAAAATTATTAAATACGGAATTGAAGTACGTAGTTCTAAACCTGATAATATATTAACATTTACATTACATTAATAACGCGAAGCATAATTACAAAAATATATGAATTCTCATATTTTATCTCTTTATAATTGATACTGTTATACACATCGTGAACAGTGGTGTTAATCTTCAAAGTTTGATTCTTACCAATTACACAAGTCCAAAAACTATAAATACTATTTCTATAATAAAATAGAGTTGTAACGAAAATCTCGTTAGAGACATGTTTTGCTAAATTGCTCATAGACGTTCCCTCTTGTAATCGTACTAACAATAATTAAAAGTACATATTCAAAGTGATATTAATGAAGGTTAAAATTATCGTAGAAAGGAGTTGTAAACTAAAGCTCGTTGTCAACTATGTCGCTGATTGCCAGATGTTGTTATACCAGAACCTTGAATTGCATCAGTAGAAATGGATGTCTCTGCTTGGGACAGGTTCCCCTCAAAAGACATAGCTCACCATTTGTTTGAGTATTCGTAGATACGCCAGAGTGTCGTTGATTTGTTTGAAACAAGCTTTTAATGCGTAAAACACAATTCACATGTCCATTTGAAACCATGTCCAATTAGCATATCCATTTGAAATACGAGTAAATGAATGTATAATGTTGAAAAAATGTAATATAAGACGTCCAATTGCAATGTTTAATTAAATATCGACATTTACAGAACTATATAAAAGAATCCAAAAATATCCTTAGCATGAATCAGTTTAGATAGATTCTGGTATGATTCCTGCGGCAATCTCAGAGACCTCCAGTATGATCTGAAGTAAACGCATTCGTGGTCAACTCAAAATGAATATGATGACTGCTATAAAACTATTTAAGACATAGATGCAGTTATATTACAGTTTAGCGCAAATGCCTTTGAATAAAATATTATGAACAATGTTATGATGACATAGACAATTTTTAGATCGTAAACGCAAAAAGCGCATATAACAATAGTCAATAGAACGTAATTTAGTTTATAAGTCTTAATTGTTGAAGCATTACTCTCATATGGAATTATTCACAAAATCCGGGAAAAAATGAAGCGAGAATACATTAATGATTCAAAGTCTGTGGCCCGGAATAACTTACAAATGAATAAATCACTCATTTCCTTTTCTTTTACTTTTTAATTGTTGGAATATCGTTGATAAATTAAACATGTTCATCGAAATACTATTAAAAAAGACTACATTTCTCAATCTTTTTATTAAAGTTACAGACACGTTATTACTTATAGGTCTGTTTTTTATTACTGCACTTTCTGAACTAGTACATACACACAATGCAATAAGTTGAAGTGAAACAAATATACGTTTGTTTCACTTCAACTTATTGTACCGTTTCAAAGTGCAGCAATAATAAACAGACCTTATGATAGCGAATAAAATAATTGAATTTCTATCGCCGTCTATCATTTATTACGTTTACTGGTTAAAAAAAATAATTGCTTTATTTTTAGCAAAGCTTGTAATCTTTGACCTTCCTTCAGCGATTTTTGTTCGAATTCCTTTTGCGAAAATATTTGATAATATCGTGGATTGCCGATTTTGAGATCTGTATTTTCTTCTCTACAAAGAACCCTTTTTTATGAATAGCATTTTTTAAAATATAAGAAACGTCAAATTTATTGAATATTTACCGATATATTATTCATGTTATGATGTTGAAACATAATTAAAGTCGAAATATTCATTAGTTCGGACATTTTTTACAGTGTATATACAAATATATCTACTTCGAGAGATTCTAGTATAATGACATTCTACTTACAATAAATAATGAGTATACATATCTCTTAAAATATCTTCTGTGTTTGATTATATCATATCTTTCAAAGGAATTAAGGATACTCCATTGCAAATATTCGACATCAACAAAAATTGTAACAAAATTAATAGATATGTGACAATACCACCCATCATCTAAAAAAACAATACCTATTTTCAAATAAAGTTAAATATATATTTATATTTATTTAATGAAAGCCAACGATTGCTCACCGCAGTAAGAAGCGTAGCATCCACAATAAGTACCTTTGCAGAAAATATATTTTTACGATGCATTAATTGCATGGAAAATAACCGCAACTGTAAATTAAAAAATGTTAAAAATACAATTGAAAGATGTAGTTGTACATTAAATAATGTAATAAAATATACATTAGTATATGCGGAGCATAATGAGAAAAATATATATGAAATGTACAAATTATATTATAATTTTTTTACACTACCTCATATTTTATTTCTCTATCGCTGGTGCTGTTATACATGTCGTGAACGGTAGTGTTGATCATCAAGGCTTGATTCTTGCCAGTTTCACAAGCCCAAACTATCAACAAAATTTTTACAATATCATACGTAACAGTTGTAATGAAGATCTCATCATAGACCTGTTTTGCCAGATTACTTAGAGACGCTCCCTCTTGTAATTGCACTAAGTAAAAGTACAGGTTGAAAGTGACTTCAATGAAAGTCAAAATTATCGTAGAAAGAAGTTGCAAACTGAAAATCGTTGTCAACATCTGTACTGTGTCACTAACTGCCAGATGCTGTTTCATCTGAGCCTTGAGCTGCATCAGTAGGAACGGATTTCTTTGTTTGTGATAGGTTGTTCTCAAAAGATATGGCTCATCGTTTGTCATGAATATTCGCAGATACGCCAGACTGTCATTGATTTGTTTGAAACAAGCTTTTAATAAGCAAACACAATTCATGTATAACATATCCATTTGAAATACGAGCAAATAGATGTATATTGTGAAAATCTGATACAAGGCGTCATACTGCAAATTATGATAATGTATCGGCACCTGTATAACTATGTAAAAGAATCCAAAAATGTCCTTGACATGAACCAGTTTAGATAGATTCCGATATGATTCCTTCGATAAACTCAAAGAGACCACCAGTATGGTCTGAAGTAAACATATTCGTGGCCCATTCAAAAGGAATGTGATGATTGTTGTAAAACCACTTAAAATATAGAGACAGTTACGTTCAAGTTTAACGGGAATTCCTTTTAACATAAAGTTACTAGTAAAATTGAGTTCATAGAGATGTTTTAGTTCGTAAACGCAAAAAGTGCAGATAACAATAATCGATAGAATGTAGTATGGTTTATAAGGCTTAATGGTTGAAGCTCTCATCTTGTATGGAAATACTCCCAGAATTCGGCAAAAAGTGAAGCAAGGATACATCAACGATTCAAAATTTGTAGCGCGAAATAATTGCCATATGTTTCCTTTTTTTTTATCTTTGAATCCTTGGAACTTCGATGACGAATTAAACATGCCGAAATATTATAAGAGAAC